CCTTTGATTAGATTCCAGGAAATTCACTGAAAATAGGTGGTCTCCAAAGTACAGATAAACATTACATGAAACCAATGACCTGTCTTAGCTCCCTCCGAGACTCTTTTGGGAAAAATAAAAAGTATTCATAGGAGGATATTATATGGAAACTCTTTGCTGATTATTTCTTGTAATTTCCAATGAAAATTCTTAGAAAACTTGCAGAGTGAAGAGTTATCCTTGCTGGAACTACTTTTCTTATTTCTCATTAGTCAAGGACTGAAAGAAATAATAGTTGAAAACAAAGAAGGTGGCAGTGAAAGGGCAGCACAATGCCCAAATCCTGTGCTCTCAGAGAGGAAAAAAGAGAGGGTGACCAGAAGTCTGACCTGAGTGGAAAAGTTCCTCTAGAAATTTCTCCTAGATAGTCTTTATCTTTGGTAAGTCTTCGATTCTTGATATCCTTGGACCTGTAACTTTTTGTGATGTGAATGTATAACCATCTTTCTTTCCAGTATCAAAACTTTGCCAAAACATTAGCCCAAATGTGTCTGAGTAGCAATTCCTGCTACTGCCCCATGGTAGAAAAGAGAAATAGTAAAATAATGAGAACATACTACAGTCTGAACATTTAATGAGGGCCTATAATTTTCAGTTACCATGCTAAGCATTTAGGTTACTGAGATAAGTGACAGAGTCTCTACTTCAAATTGCTTCAAGGTCAGTGAAAGGAAAAACAAAGAAATATATAAATAATATCACTGTGACAATTGGTAGAAGAATAAGGCCCTTCCTATAGACTGAGCCTTGAGAACCTAGTAGAGTGAATCAATGCGAAGAAGATAGAAAGGGAATTCCAGGTTAAAGGAACAAGTTATGCAAGTACAAACAGTATAAGAAGAATCCGAAAGTAGTTTGATACAGCTGGAATAGTGAGTGAAAGTTGGAGGAGACAAGAGAGGAGAGACTACAGAGGTAGGCATGGCTAAATTGTGAATGGCTTTGTCTAACATGCACAGAAATTTGATTTTCTACAAAAAAAAAATTGAAGACATTGAAGATTTTCCATAGAACTGAGACATGATCAGATTTAACTTTTTAAAAGATCACTCTGTTTGCATTCTGAATAATGGAGGAGGATTATTTGATACTAAAGACCAGTTGATAGGCTGCATTTCAGGTGAAAGGTGGCTGACTCAGAGCAGTGGCCTTAGGCATGCAAAGGGGATGAGTTAACACCTCATTAGAAATGCAGACTAGGATGACTTCGTGACAATGAAGGTGAGTTTAGGAGAAGAACAAAACTAGGGTGACTTCCAGGTTTCTGGCCTGAATGAGTTGACCAAAAGTGTCTTTCATTAAGAGAGGAAAAGATGGCAAAGTTCAAGACCTGACAGATTGAGTTTGAGGTGCTTTGGAACATGCAGTTCAAGATGCCAAGACAGCCAGCCAAGGGTCTGGGCTCAGGAGGAAGATGAGAACGCAGACACAGGTTACGAAGAACTGATCCTATGGAGCTGGCCAGTCCACATCCCACTCCACACTTACTTCCCTGCCCAGAACATAACTCCCGGCATCACCCTATCCCGCCTCTTCCCTTGAGTCCAGGAAGTAAGCATAAATCGGAAGCTGCTCATGAGTCATCTGCTTCAGAAATGTGACTGGCCTGCTCTCTCAAGTTGAGAAAAGAGAGCCAGAATAGTCCCAGAGTTTCAACTGGCAGCTGTTTTGTGTCTCACTTATACTGGCAGCTACCATCAACAGCTTTTATCACTTTGCTCCTAGACACATGACATCTGAGTGGAACAGACAGGAATAGTCTGTGAAGGTAGAAGCCCATATTCCAAACTTTGGAAATGTTCTTCTGAAAGTATATAGAAGTCTTGACAAGCAATAAAGCTTTAACACCTTTATCCTCCATCCTCTGCACAGCACTAGGCTCATAGGAAACCTGCCTTGGGCTGGCAGAGGACTTGCCCTCAGTATTTGGCAACCAGGGCTACATTCAGAAGTGAGCACACGTTCCTCAGGCATGTTCCACAGGGCAGTGAGTTCTGCACACCTTTATGGGTGAAACTGGGTTTTGCAGCCTAGCCTGAGAAAATGGGAAAATGACAGTAAGTCAGACAAATGTACATTAGGCTGACATAATTCTGTGTGGAAGGCTTTTCTCCTATCTTGGAAGAAATTTAGCCAATGGCAAATTTCCTCTATTACGGGGCCTCTGAGTTCATTATATATTCAGAAGAAATAGAACTGAGTTGGCTGTTTAGAAAGTACTCCCTAGAAAAGGAAAACAGCAGGGGAAGTTTTCAGAAACCACTGTCCATCTACTTAAAGATTCACAGATAGAATAGCAAAAACAGTTCTTCTGCCAAGCTGACCCCTCCCTGCATGCTGCCTGTTTATATGCAAACTTGGAAGGAACGCCCATGGCACATTTTGATAGTGAAGACAGAAAAAGATTTTCAGAAGCAATATAAATCCCAGTATTAATATCTGAGGCTATGTATTCTTCCTCTCCACACCCTATTTCAGTGAGAATTGGCTGAGGACTCACGATTTTGTTCTGAATGGACCAAAATATGACATAATTCCCAATTTTTTACTTAATAATTTATAAAGTTACCTTGTCCCTATCCTGAATGAGCTAATGGAAATAAATTACCTGCCTGAGGATAGTTAAGAGCTTACTATAAAAACAAAGTAACCAGAATGAAAAAAAAAATTAGAAAATCAACTAAGACAGGTTCCAAATGCCTCTTTAATAAATTATATTCCCTTAAAAGGCAATAGCCAATGGATTATGGCATCACATTAAAGATCATGGCTTTCTCCTTTTTAACTTTCATTGTTAATCTTAAAAAAAGAAAATCAATCAATTTGTAATAAATGTTTTCTTCTTGGGCTGAGAAGTGCTCTAAGAAAGCCTTGTATGAAAGTTTGATACTATCATTCTTCATCAAAAAGAAAAAAATGTGGACCACAGTAAATATAATTAAGATGTACTATGTTTTTCTTTTCCCTTTTAAATTAAAAATATTTTCTAAAAATAAATCTTAATTTTTCAAGCAGTTTTAGGTTCACAGGAAAACTGAGTGGAAAGTACAGAGATTTCCCATATTCTCCCTGATGGACCCCACACATATACACAGCCTCCCCCACCAACATACCTCACCAGAGAGATACAGTTATTATAATTGATGAAACTACACTGACACATAATTACCTAAAGTCCATAGTTTACCTTACAGTTCACTCTTGCTGTAAATCTGATGGGTTTTGACAAATGTATAATGACATGTATTCATCGTTGTAGTATCATACACAATAGTTTCATTGCCCTTCAGGTCCTCTGTGCTCCACCTATTCATCCCTCCTTCCTCCCTAACCCCTGGCAACCACTGATCTTTTTATAGTCTCCATAGTCGTGTCCATTCCAGAATGTCATATAATTGGAATCACATAGTATGTAGCCTTTTCAGATTGGCTTCTTTCACTTAGTAATATGCATTGTTTTTTTTAAAGGCATTACAAAGTTCCCGAGGCAGTGAATGATATAGCATTGTGATAAAGAGCATGAAGACCCAAACTAAAGTACTGGTTTTTGCCCGTTTGGTCAAGTCACTTATCTTCCCTGGGCCTCAGTTTACTCACCTGTAAAATGAGGATAACATTAATACCTATCTCACTAACTTTATGATATTGCCATGCAAATCAGATTTCTTTTCTAAAAAATGGGGGTAATAATGCTTATGCTATAGGGTTGCTGTATGGATTAAAGGAGCAATGTGTATGAAGAGCTTAGCACTGTGCCTGAAACATATTACATATTTAATAATGGTAGCTAACAATTTTCATTTTAATGTGTGTTGAATATTTTCTATTCAACCCTCTAAAACCACTCTCCACCCTTTTCTGTCTTCCTTTGTGGGGACAATTACTAAAGAGTACATTAAGTGAGCTACCCTCCCAACTGCCTGATGAGTTCAGCTAATAAGAAAAAGGGCAGAAGCTGAGAGGGAGATGAGTGTTTCCTCCTTGGACCTCCTCCCTGTCAGTCTGGCTGTGGCTGCATTCCTCTTTGAAGTCTACAAATCTTGCTGGGCAATCATCTTATGGTTGCTGGTTTCCCTTAACCCTGCCCAGAACTTTGTAAGTAATCTATTAAATTATCTTTTGAGGTAATTAGAAAGCTTAGAAAGTTTCTGCTGTTTCCTCTCAGGAAGACACATAGTGTTTGCCCTTCATATTTACTTGCAAAATTATTATTACTCATTACATTGTAAAGGAGCCAGGGAATCATAAAATCAAGAACCATAAGTAACTCTATTAAATCTTTCAAGTTATTACTAATATCCACTGGTCAGAATTTATGAACATGTATTTTTGGATTCAACAGAAAAAGTGAAAAAATTTTAGAGACCTGAAAAAAGGTTACAAAGATGATTAAAAGTTGTAAAATATCTGTAAGAAAGGGTACTCAATTTTTTCTCATTAAAAATATACCAAAAACACAACAACAAAATTCCTGATAATTATTTAGTTTCATAAAGCAAAGATAGTTAATTAAACAAAGTGTATTTAATGTTTGTAGCTGATATTTGGCAGATGTATTCCCCAATCCAATGCCTCTTTTTTAACCCTGATCATTGAGATGTGTACTATCCCAATCATGAAGACTTTTATAAGACTAGTTCAAGGAGATCTTCAACTACAGCAGGAATTTTCACTAATAATGAAGAAATTGATTGAAGTGCATACAATTCATGGCTATGACGCTACTTATAACAATGGACAAACCATTTTATCTTAAAATCACAGACTACATTTTCTCCAGTATTATAAATATTAATTATATATTTTTCCATTACAAATCATGTTATAATAAAAAAGGTCAAATTTAATGCTAATTTTAGAACACAAAAAAGTAACAGAGAAAGTGCAAATGTGGCACTCTCTTCACTGCGTGAGTGGGGCATGGCTCTCCACCCGGAATATTCTGTAAGAAAGCTACTTACTTGAGTTTTTGGTCGCGCTCCAGTTGACATTTGGTTTGGCACACCATCAAGATTCTGGATGTTTCCAGTTTTATTTCTAAAAATTCCTTCCCTCAGATGATTTTTCTAAAAGACTACTCTTCAGGTTTATAGAATTCTGTAAGAAAAAAATTTAAACAAGTACAGAGAATTATTCTCAGGCAATAATTCAAGTGAATTATTCAGGAAGTACATTTCTCAAAAGCCAGAATGGTTTTGAAAATCAACATAAAATATGGGAATATTCCTAAATAGTAATGATTTCTCCAAAGACATTTATACTTAGGCTCACTAAGATCAGCCCTAGTAAAGCCAAAGGACTGGTTGTAAATGTAAGTTTACAGACCAAAAAGTTTAAACTATCAAGGTAAAAAATTGGCATATTTTTAAACTTTTTAAAAAGGAAAACCAAAGGTATTTAAAAACTTGAAATAAGAGGTGGCTCAGTTACAAAGCCAAGGTATTCTTTTAAATAAGCTTTAAGATCTCAGTTTATATATTTTATAATAGTAGGGAACAAATTATAAAATTATTTTTCTGAAAGTCAGCTTAAAAGTAAAATGATTAAAGACTTTAGTATAAAGAGAATCTTAAACTTTTCAAATACGGTAAGAGTTCATTTTCCAAAATGTTAGGTAAATTCTTATTGGAGTCATTAAGTTTGTCGTCACTAATTCTTTCCATCGCTTGGAAGTTGGCCACATCTCTCTACGTCCTAGTTTCTTATATAAGCTACCTTGAAGCCTCTCCTGCAGTGTCCTGTTCTGCTTTATTCCTTCTGGAAAAAGGACCAAATTCTCAGAAGTAGGGAAGGTTGGAAATGTGAATTTTTCGTTTAACTAAAATTTTACTCACTGATCAGCAGGTTGTCCTTTGGGGTAGGAAATAAAATATCTAGAATAAATAGACTTATGTGTGAGTTTAGCACTGCTAAATGCTAACTATATAACCTTGGACTTAATTTCCTCAAATCTTAATTTATTCACCTGTTAAATGATACTTTCTGGCATTTATCGAACATTTCTTTGTGCCTGGCATATTTGGCCAATGGAATGTGAGTACAGAGGAACATGCCAAGTCTGAACAGAATCTTTACATGTGCTGCTTGGAAATTATATTTTCTTAATTCTTGATGTTGCAGAAACTCCCCTGTGGGGGGAATAAATTTGATGATGAGAATAATAATGATATGGTTTGATCATGGTAGCTAATATATTTTTGATAGGTACTGTGTTAATGTGTTTTACATATTTACATTTTGAGGAAAATCTATTGATTTGGTCTTTTTAATAGAAATTTACCAACTCAAAAATGTGTGAAGGGGGAGGGTATAGCTCAGTGGTAGAGTACATGCTTAGCATGCACGAGGTCCTGGGTTCAATCCCCAGGACCTCCATTAATAAATAAATAAATACATACGAAGACACATAAATACATAAATAAACAAACAAATCTAATTACATCCCCCACCCCAAAAAATATGTGAATGACATAGAAGAGTATGTACATACTTCTGCCCTTGAGAAAAGACCATGACAAAGCTAATGGGGTCTTGTCTTAATTCAAGTGCACAGTGACTCTAAAAGGTATGAAAGTTATTAAACTGGAGAAAAAACAGTGAGAAATTAGACTATGTTGAACAGGCAGTCAGTGGTATGGCAATACAGTGAGCTGGCCAGTGAGCTAACCAGTGAGTACTACACTCTTCTGAATACTGCTAAAGTCTTTCTGCCAGCCAGTGTAGACAGTCTGACAGGTGCCCAGAGGAACACCTGCTGTGGGCTCATCTGTAAAAAGAGGATTGTGCAATCACCTATTTCAATAGGGTGCTGTGTGCTGCGTGAAAGCCTTTAGGTACTGCTGCGGTCACTGCTGTAATGCAGCAGATCAGGGTGGGTCTCTTTTTCATAGGGAACTTAGGGACTGTATCTTATTCAGGGAGAATTAAGATTTGATAACAGACTATTAAGCACAACATTCTGTGTGTGATTCTTTCACATATATTACCTCATTTTTCTTCTCAGTAATTCTGTGAGGTGAGTCTTGTTGGTGGAACTTTATAAAAGAATTCTTAAAGAGAGTAAGTTGCTCGAGTAGGATCACATAGCAAATAAGATTCTTCTATTTCTGACTTCTCTCTTCCCTCATATTTCTCTTTGTATCCTGGCACAGCTCCTCTTCCACACACTCTCCAGTCTACATCTCAGCAAGCATCTGTTCCATCATAGGCCTTTCTTTGTTCAGCTGGTTAATGGGCTTGGGCTCATTTTAGCTCTAGAGAAGACAGATACCTGTGCAGATAAGGAAATGGGTCTGAAACTGCAGGAAGGAATTGACCACTAGAAGCCAGCAGCTTTGCAGAGCTCCCGTGGCACAGGTGTGGCCACTTACAGACAGCACTTACTGAACGTATGCTAAGGCACTTTATAATTTTAATGCTGTTATACATAATATCCTTTTACAAAATTACATTTCTATATCCTATTGTTTACATTTGTTAATTCAATTGATTTTTTCTTAATTGATGTATCTATAAATATTTGTGAGCCTTCTGATTAATTTTATGTATTTTGGGGGGATGGCTTTGTACTCTTACATCAGAGACTAATGATAACTTTGTTTCTTTGTCATTCCTCATACTTTTATTTTTCTTTATAAACAGGCTAGGCCCTCGAGTCAGTATTGATAATAGGTGGTAGCAGAAGACATTCTGATTCTATGTCTGATTTTAAGGAGAATGCTTCATGTTTCCCTACTTAGGCATGATGCTGACTGTACTGGGTTTTGTTTTTTGTTAATCACACAGTTCCTTCTTTTAAATCAAAATTTTTAATATGAAAGGATGTTGAATTTTAGTGAATGCATTTTCTCCATTAAGATGATCAAAATTTTCTTTTTAATCTCTTAATTTATAAATTAATTAATCTTATAATGTCAAACCAACCATGCACTTCTGTATTATATTATCAAAGTACCCTTCTAGTCTTATCATAATGAAGGTTGGAATTTGTCAAATGCCCTTTAGATGACTAGACTTATCAATGAACAACAGTAATATATTCATAATTATTAAACCATCCTTGTATTCTGAGATCAACTATGCTTGGCTGTGGGAAGCAGTTCCTCTTAATCTTACTGATTTCTAATGCCTTCTTAGTGCAGTGTGCAGCAGTCAGTCTCATAATCTTACTGATTTGTTTAGCTGGTGTCTTATTTGGTAATTTTGCACCCACATTTATTTTTTGTCCTCTGTCAAGTTTTTGTATCAGGAAGGCATTAATTTCATAAAATAAATATGGAAGCTATGAATCTTTATAAGTAAGATAAAGAAAATTTATATTGCATGAGGATTATTCATTCTTTGAAAATTTCAAAGAACCCACAGGCAAAACTGTTTGGCCCTTAGAGTTACTTTTTTGGTAACTTTTAAAATTTCTCCTATTGGTTTTTGTTCTGTTCTGGTAAATAACTCCCAAATGAGTCATTACAACATATGTTTTATTATTACATTGTCTATTATACTAAGTCTTTCAAGAAAGAGAACTATTTTCTGCTTGGAAAAAGTGACAAGGGCAGAGAGATATTTAATTAAGTTTTGTTCCTTATTGGAATTTTTCTCTTATATTTTACCCTATACTACAGTAGAACTACATACATAGGTTTAATGGTTAATTTAACATTTTTATAAGTACAAAATAGATGAACAAGAATTTTTCCTAAGATCTGATAGCTCTTTGGAAATAATATTTGACTTTCCAAATATTTGTTTTTCTGGGTCTTTATCCATTACTTACTTTTTATAGTTCACATTTTATTCAAACAATGTCTTTTCATTTGTTTTTCTACCTTGACAAGAAAAATTTTAAATTCTATCTTTGTAGTTATTCCCAAAGTTGCTATGTATAGCTATTAGCTCTAGAATATTGAACTTCACTGATGTAATAATCATTGAATATTTTCTCCTATAACCGAGCCATGACATAGGATTGCAAGAAACTAATAATAAAATTATCTTTCTAATCTTTGCTTGAATTTCATATCAAGAGAGCTTAAGAAAACATTCCCAAGATAGGATATTTAAATTTATGCAAATATAGCAAAATGAGGTGGTTCACTGTTGATTGTCCAAGCCTGGAGAGATAAAGAGCAGATTCTTTTACCCATTCTCCTCTTTTCAGAATAAAAGAACAAAAAAATGGAAATACAGAAAGATAATCTTGTTATTTATATAATTGTAGGGATGTTTCTAAAATGTAACATACAATATTCTAATTTTTACACAATTTTTTAAAGTATAGCATGCAATTCTTTAATTTCCTCATTTGCAAAGAAGAACCTCACTAATTAAATGATTTATAAATTGAAGATAATTACATTTGATTTTTTGAAGGAAAAATGCACATTTTAAAACATTTAAAATACTGGCTATTAATATTCAGTTGCATCAACAGGTATAAATGATGTGAAGTCAATCTTGATCCCAGACATAAATGGTCAAAACTACACCTAGACTGATAGTTGCCCTTTTCATTTATTTTTCAAGTAGCAGATTTGTTCTGTATCTCAAAAAAGAAGCTTGTGTAATTACCCTTCAAGGAACATTAAAAATTCAAAGAAATTCAAGTACACGTGAAAGCTTTCCTAAGCTGAGCAAAATAACTTGTATTGAATTCATTTTTAACAATATTTCTAATCTGTTCCTCCCATAACTGAGACTAACTTATTCTGCTAAATAACCAAGAAAGACATATTTGATTCCAGATCTATCTGAGATATGAGAGGCCTTTGTTTTTCATATCCCTATAGCTGGACACAAGAGTCCCCTTCTCTGTCACAATAATGATAACTACCATTTATGTAGTACTTATATTCAGTGTAGTGAAAGCAGGCTGCTGACTAAATTCAGGTCATGATTCCTGTGCTGTCATGTGACCTGAGCAGATTACTTAAATCCTCCATGTCTATGCTGTCTCATTGGATTAAAATGGGGATATTAATAGGACCTACTGATAGGTTTATTTATTATTTCCCATTTTATTTTTTGGCCCATATTTTACCCAGAGATTGTCAGGGCTTCAGGATGCCAGAGTTCTGAG